TTTATCTGTTTCAGATAAATATCCTAAGGATGCTTTCGTTGATTTAGTTTCTAACTAATCGATTATAAAGCTGAGTTTTGTTAGATTATAGTCGGTAATAATTTTGGAATTTTGATGCAAAGTTGATTTTTTTTTAAATAAAAAATGTGTCATACATTAAATTCAACTTAGTATTGTTTGTTTGAATCTTCCCATTGATGTTTAGGACTGCAACTGGTCAGTCTCGAATTGGCATATGTGCATACTGCACGTATTGCCTCGATATAGCCTTAATTCATAAGTATTGTAAGCAAAGATGGATAGTGGCTAGCAGTGGAATTCAGGCCTTGCGTTTCGTCCTATTTGGGACTCGTCAGCTGAATGTACCTGCATCTGAGAGTTGATGTCCACTCTGGGACTCGAACCCAGTGCCTTTCGCTTCGAAACGCACGTCCTGGATTCCACTGCTAGCCACTATCCGCTTTTGCTTACAATGTGTCATACCTTAGTTGACATTAATATTTCTTTCAACAAAAATATTGCTAGGTGGCAAGTGATAAACATTTTATCTCAGATCTTAGAGAACCAAATCTGTTACATTATGTTCATAAAATAGTTCTTGGTTTTGATCTTCTTAGTATCAACTTCATTAGTTGTACGTAAGAAATAAATATTTTCTATTACGGCATAAAAAGTATGACCAACTATTATTAATTTCAAGAATACCGTAAGTTTCACTGTTTTTTCTTATGGTTCTTACGAAATAATGCTAAGCTCTATTACTGTTGTTTTCAGAACTGTTTCAATGATAACAGATGGATATATTCAAATCAATTCATGAAATTTAAAGCAATTAGTCCGTTTGATAAATTTCGATAGTGTTATAAGAAGACGAAGATTATAAGAACTATGTTGTGATATATTAGCGTAATACATTTCAAACAATCTGATCACACATCATGTACTTTTTAAGAACATTTATATATATATATATATATATATATATATATATATATATAAGGTCAACTAGACTGGAGGTGGGGCTAGACAAGGATAATAACAATATAAATAATACGAAAAACAATTTGAAACCTAATCACTCTGGATAATAAGCTAATATTACCAGAGTAGGTTTAAGGAGAGAACAAACTGTTTTCGAATACTCAAAGGGGTTTTGAATTTTCGTATGGCTAAAGCTTCATTAAAATTTAATATACACTTTTATGCCGCAACCCAAAAGCCGTGTTAACATCAATCTTATGGCTTTCCTTGTTTAACTGCTTGGCAATAGAGGATGATGGATGTTTATCCTCTACTCTTATCCGGTCATTTGATTTTATTTGGCAAATCTGTGACCACACACATTCAAATTGGTAAACGCAGTAGGATGTGACACAATCGTTTTCATGTCTTTTAGGTTTTGGATGAAGCATGAACCTCGTTCTTCCTTTGATGATGACCTTCGCTGCACAATACATTTTATTGATGACTGATATAAGCCTTTGTTTCAATAAAAGGCTATTTAAATCACTTCTAAATGGTTAGGTGATGTCGACAGGCTTTTTTTTCACCAAGGCTACAGTTTAGTTGACCTTTTATTTTTATATATAAATGTTCTTAACAGGTATATGTGTGATCAGATTGTTCAAAATGTACTGCGCCAATATATCACAAAATAGTTTTTATAATCTTCGTCTTCTTATTACACTATCGAAAGAATATAAAGATCTTTCATAATTATTTTCAAATCAGTAAACCTTATAAGTGCATAATAAAAATTACTTTACAACATATCTACTAACAAATGATATTCACCGTTGTGACATTTCATCAAAGCTTTGAACATATATAATAACTTGAAAAATGGTTGTGAAATGCAAACAAGAGTTAAATATAAGTATTCTTGTAAGAAACAAAAAACGTTTCCGTGACAATACTTATATATAACTTGGTTTTAAACAAACTAGAAACCTTTCGTAGACATAATAATAAGCTTCTATCAATGTTTTATGCCAATCAGGCATATAATATAGATATCTATGAGATAAAAGATTTTGCATATTGCTAGTTAGAAGTGAAACTAAAAACGATGTCGTTAATCAACTTGGAATGAGCATCTCACTCACCATATATATATATATATATATATATATATATATATATATATATATATATATATATATATATATATATATATATATATATATATATATATATATATATATATATATATGATTCGATAATTATGATGGCGAAAACATAAGTTTATGAGATTATTCATGTCAGTTTTCTCTCTTACTATGTAAGAGTGTTCAGGTTCTTTGTAATTCCCAAACCCGAATGTTTTGTTATGGTCTTCTTCATAGATGCAGTCTCAGAGTTCTTTGGGACAGTGAATAGTCGGTCAGGAAGTATAGGAGGCTTCAAAAGTCTTGGCGTCTACCTCAACACAGATGTCGGATTTCTTCGTGACATTGAATTATACTGTCAGTTTTCAAGACCTCTGCCTAAACTGCTGGCCTTTTTAAACATATGTTTTTACTGATACACCATCTCCTGGAACAGCTCTATACATTACAAAAATTTCTTTGACGCTATTTAGTTGTTTTCATCGAAGATTTATTATAGCTTATTTTGTGTATTTTTAGGATTGGGTAGAATACTGACTACTTAATATCAACTAGAGTAACTTTATTCAAGAAACGAGAAACGTTTTATTTTTAGGGGTGTAATAAAAAAAACCCAAAGTAGGGTATGCTGTGAAAAAGCTTGACATTTAAAATAAGAATGTGAGTTTTAACAATCTTATTATGTCCATTGAGACTAAGTTAATATTGTACAATTCTTAAACAGGGACTTCAGCACTGAACTGAATAACTCTAGCTAACAACAATCAACTGATATGTAGAATGAAGCTTGTAGTATATAGGTTATGATCCATAAGCGTTCGGCAGTTGTTTTATTAATTACAAAATTTGTAACATTAAAAAACACTTAAAAATGTATGACTGATGACATGAAATTGCTGGATGTAGAAGGCATATCGATTTCCAGATAGTATCCATTGGTCACTCATACAATCATTTAGAAATTGGATTATAAATACATGTAGGTTTAACTGAAGTGTACCGGTATAACGTCAATACTACTATTCCGGTAGGAAATTTAGAAAGCCTAGAGATAAATGAAGAAGAGTGACAGTGAAAAAGTGGAGTTTAATATAAAATTTATCCGGTGAAAACTTCTAAGACAGAATAGGAAGATCTAAAATTATTTATTGAAATAACATCTGTATGAAAAGTGATTCTACAGTATTGTGAACAGATACTTGAATATAAAACTTTTATGTAACATAAAGAAATTGATTTATTGTAGAGAGGAACTTCAGCAAATCATAAAATCTAGCTACATACAGAATTCAGTATACTGTGTTCTGCAATTCTATCAGTCGTTTCATGTTTGGCCATATTAGTAAATTTAAAGTATTTGTTTATTTACATCTCAATATTATATTATCGCATGTTTTTCTCTTTACCTTAAAATATATTATTCACTTAAATGATGTTTTAATCAATTATTTCACAGATAACAACCAAAGTGGAAAAATTCATGATTTTCTTTCTGGGGAGGGGGAAAACATTTAGATTCTATCGTGTTCATTGCAGCTGATTATTATTAGTTAAACTGAGTTTGAAGAATAATGTGTCATATGTTGTGTATGACATGAAACAACAATACTGACCCTAATTTTGGAAATGCTCACTTTTAAAAGTTATTTATAACACGAACTATTTATTAAATATAATATGGCAAGCTAATTTATATACATACAATCCCGTAGGCTTCACTATTTTATAACGGAGTCAATTAAACATGTAGTTAAACCCCAATGCTGCTTTTACATTTTAGTTAAATAATAAACTAAATGCTAGTAATACTTTATCTGTCACTGCGATTATTGTATGGAACTAAAATAAAGTCATTTTGTCTGTAGACAAGAATGAGCCGTTTTTTCAGCAAAGTAACGTACTATATATTCGGATGAATAAATATTTTTATAGTTGAAATCATGAGTCGAATGAAGCTAGACCACCTTGAAAAAAGGTGAATGCACTGGACGGCCGTTTCGTCCTATTGTGGGACTCCTCAGCAATGCGCATTCACGATCCTGCCTCTCGAGACTCGAACCCAGGACCTATCCGTCCCGCGCCAGAGCACTCAACCGATAGACCGTTGAGCCGGTATCCGATGGTGTTAACGTCTAATTTCAACCAATCCACAAAGTTGAGCAACCGTTCACCAATTATAAATAAATTATATATTTGTAATATCCCAATGAGTAGAAAAATTAGATTTTCTGACGTTTCGTGACTCAGTGTAAGCCACTTCCTCAGAGAATAAATAACCAAATTAATATTAATCCAAGTTTAAACAGCACTGAACTGAATAACTCTAGCTAACAACAATCAACTGATATGTAGATTGGATTAATATTAATTTGGTTATTTATTCTCTGAAGAAGTGGCTTACACTGAGTCACGAAACGTCAGAAAATCTAATTTTTCTACTCATTGGGATATTACAAATATATAATTTATTTATAACAATCTACCCAATGCTCAATTTATTCAAAATTATCAAATCAAGTCTTGGTAATGATACCTACGTTCACCAATTGTTTTCAGTGAGTTCCAATCGCACAACAGATGTGGTTGAACTCCACTGGTCGCTTCTTCTCACTAGAACTCCAGTAAATATCTATTGAAGTCAGTCACTAGTGAGCGCACTGTTGAGAAGTCCCACAATAAGACGAAACGGCCGTCCAGTGCTTTCAGGTTTTCCGTGGTTGTCTAGCTTCAATTGACTCATGATTTCAACTATGAAAATACTGAAATCTCCACAAAAGCCCTTCCGAGTAAATATTTGTTTGGTGTATTAGTTTTTACAAAACTTTGAACTGAAAAGTACCAAATCACATAACATTTGCTTTAGCAGTTTGATTATATTATAATAAAACCTACTTGTCTTCTGGCCCTTGCTCTGTTAATTACTTTACGTAATTTCAAATTGTGTTGTGTTTCACTAATCGTAGCATAAGAACGTTCTGTTTTACCTGATGATATGATTTGATTGAAATTTATCTGTTGTCCAACAAGAGATATTCCTTTATTGTCTGTACGAAATAACCGCCAACTTATCTGACAGTACATTACTGATGTAATAAGTAACGGTAAAACATAAAATACTATTAAATCACACATATAAATAGCTTTATAAGCTGTTCGCTTAAATTTGAATGTACACGTTTCAAATGAACCATATTCTGAATATTGTTTAACTGTAGTACTCATAAAAATCCATGGTATATTGTATGTTAATGTAAAAATCCATATTCCAGTAATAATTTTAATTGCTCTTTTAATGGTACACATATAATGTGCACGCATTGGATAACAAATTCCAACCCATCTTTCAACAGAAAATGCACATATAGATAATGCTGAAGCATCCACACTTAAATATTGTAAACAAACACTTAATTGACAGGCAAAATTTCCTAGTCTCCAATGATTGTATGGTTGATAAAATTCTTGTACCATTAATGTTGTACTTGTCATTAAAACAAGTAAATCGCTAGCTGATAATGAAATAAGATAACAATTTGTTGGTGTATGCAATTTTGATGATAATGTTAATACTAACATAACAAATATATTTCCAATAACACCAACTGTTAAAATAACTAATAATGAAATGGTACCTACTAGTTTATATGGTAAAGAATAATGAATTAGAGGAATTAAGGAGATATTCTTATTCATATTTAGTAATGTGAAATTAGTATCCATTATTTTATTTATTATTTTTGTTTTAATTTTTTAATTTTAATTATTTTTAATGGTAGGAGTTTTGGACTTGGTGACAATGGTTAACATGATAAACTATTCAACAGATAAACGTAACTAAACGTTATTCATTGAAGATTTAAATTTAAAAGCTGAGGATAATTTTTATTGGTTATTTAATACAAAATTTTTATGATTGGTTGAATGAGATATTATTATTAAATAATAAATTGAAAAACAACCTTTGTTGATTTTTATTATTACATATATTAGAATGAATACCTTGATGGTATAATGCAAAGTATGCTCTTTGGTTTGCTGTTATGTAATAGTCTACATTTTTACAAAATTTATAGACTTACTCTCCAGACGTTATTATCATATCGTTCCTACGAATAAACACTCGTTGCTTAACTGTCATTCAACTATGCTCAAATGAATAAGGGATTTTGAAAGTTTTGTTAACTTTACTTACAGCAAACGCTTGCTCACTGACGTAAACTTAGCTCATGAAATCACAGATACTTAAATTAAGAAACAGCATCAACTCAAACACAAGTGCCGCAAACCGTTATTCGTGATCAGTAACGGTTTACCTTTTCGTACTCACACAACCATGATAAAAACGAAAATAACAACTTTTGCAAATGATAGTTTATTTATATAACTTTTTTCCATAATTCGTGCTTACAACATAAAATATGGAAATAGGCTTAAAGATAATTGTGGAGATGAATCGATTTTTGATGCACTGCTATAATTGAACATTTCTTTATTCAATTCAAGACAGGGTATCAAAACGTATACTTCGCCCAAACAAACAGTTAACGTTCTGACGAAGCAAAAAAACAAAATGAGTACAGTGAAAAATAAGTAGAAAAGAAAAGTATGTAGTAGATGTAGTTCGGTTATACATAAAACTAAGAAGGACTTCTCTAGTCAAATGAATTTCCCTTAACTTTTCATCGATTGTTGCTATTCTGAGTCATATTAAGTAACGTACAAAAGATTTTATGACATATTTTTCTGACTGTAAGGAGTTTAATACGTGTCAGGTAAAGACAGTTATCCACATCAGATAATGTACGAACGATCGAGCAAGATCATGGATCGATTGGGGTTAGAAATTAACACCGTTGGATCCCGGCTCAGTGGTGTACAATTTAAGCGTTCACAAGTGACTTCTAAGGTTTCGGGTTCAAGTCCCGATTACGGGATTATGAATGTACACTTCTGAGGAGTCACATACTGTGAATAAACGGGTGTCCAGTGCCTCAAAGTTTTCAATGGTCGTCTACTTTAAAATCAACTCATGAAATCCACTATTTAAATTACTATAATCTCCACAAACCCCATTCCGATCTAAATCGTATTGTGTGTTGTTCTTCATTTTTCTGTCCTGATAAGCCAGTTTGTTCTGGTGTGTAGCTTATCACCGGTGAGTGGTCTTTTACACGGTAAGGGGCACATTCTGAATTGCCTCCGAGAAATTCAGTAAATACATAAAAATGTATTACGTATTTATCCTTGTGCTACTGTACTTTTTATTCGAAAGTTCGTGAATTAATTACAGCTCGTGTGATGTATTAATTGATAACTATAATATGCAATTCAAACACATTATGTTGCAAGCGAAATAGAGCTCATCTATATTGTTATATGTGAGTCAGATAACAAAGTGTATTTATTAAAAAATAAAAATCACTGAGTCTCGACCAGAATATCTAATTTTTAAGTTCTCAGTGTTAGAATTAATGACCCTTGGTTTGAGTTTTGCAAGAATTGTGAGTATCCATTTATAAAGAGTACCCCAATAAAAAGAAACAGCTATTTACTGTTCCATTGATTTCATCGTTACCCCAGTTGAGGTTACTTCATGACAAACCATACTAACATAATATTGATTTCTTTTACATATGGATAATTTGTTCATCACTTATTTCGTTTTAATATTTCATAAATAATTCATGTTCATACATCATATCACCTTTAATTAAATATTCCATTATGTAAGGAAGTCCTTTCATATTTCCTTCATTCTGTGTGACCTATATTTATTACCGAATATTAATGTCACAACCTCAATCAGCCTACAAATTGTTTAAAGTGTACACTACTTACCTTTACAAATCTCAACTAAGAAACTTATTCTAGCGAAAATCCACAATTCCTATCTTTCATTTTATGAAATTTGTCAAAGGAATATTCTCTACTCAAATATCTTTGTTTTTATTATACTTGCTATCAAAAATTGATAATGAAAAACGAAAACGCCCTAAACTTCTTTTAGACTTGTTGATATAAATGAGAATAATTCAATCCCTTAGTAATCAAACACCATAAACATTTTAGCTGAAATATTGAGATTTGGCATATGCTGCTTGACTTGTCATATATCACATATGCTTTTTACAGCTTTGAAAAAACTGTGCAGTTGCTATAGGAGATATTTCCAACGTTACAGTAACTAAATGTTTTGAAAATGAAGTCAGTCTAAATGAATTTTCATTCTATAAACATAAGCTGAAAATTGGTAGTTCAATATCAGAATTCTAAATTAATTTTTTTTAATTGTTTTAACAAAGTCACACATATTTTTAAATGCCTATGTGAAACGAATTGATGTAAACTTTCACCCACCATATGAACTAAACATTAATATAGTTAGATATTATTAACCCGAAAAATACAGTTTACATTCAGATTGACTTATTTTTTTAATTCAAAAGAAAATCAACCAATTTTTATAAACATTGACAGACTTGACATAATAGTCTTCGCTCGACGTCACCAATATCCGAACCGAATGTTTTGATGTTAGTTTGTTAGTGGGGAGTTGAGACAATTATATTATATACCTGTAGCGTACTAAAGCTAATATTTCTGAAATTGGCTTGTCTGGATTTCATCTAAATTATTTCATTGATAATTTTACTAGCATATGAAATTTTTAAATTAATTATACAGTTATGTTTAGGCATAAAAGTAGACGATGAATGTTTTCAAACTTTGTCTACTGTAAAAAATGTTTACAATAGAAGCTTATCTTAGCTATATGCTCATTAAAGACCACGCAGCACTAGACCTCTGCTTCTTGACAGAGAAGTAATTCATAATATCTGCACCCACGACCTCACCAGTGATCGAAATCCGGAACTGCAGAGGCGTTCATATGAGACTGAATATCAGTTGTTTCTAGTAGTATTCTACACAAAATCAGTTCCCGGCGTAAAGTGAATGATCTCCACAAACTTCCAGCGAATTTAAAGCTTATTGGAATTTATCTCAACACATGGTTCTCAATCATAATTTTATCAACTTATCTATAATATTATCATTAGTATTTATAACTTACATGATGACCGATCGTATTTTCACTAACGGACTAGACGATAATCAACACTATTTTTAATCATAAAACTTATGTAACTATGAAAGTGGTTATTCAGACAGATTTTTAAAAACGACTTAATTTCGATCAGAAATTGAAAAGTCTCAAATTTCAGGCTTTCTTGAGAGTTTATTACCATGATATTTCCATGCTAAAAAGGTTTTGCTTCGGTCTTTTATATGAAGAATTCTGTTTTTCAGTCGTGATTTGATAAAGCAACAATTGCAGTATACATGACGATTATCATTAAAATAATCAGTGATGTCTAGGAGTAATTTCAAATTCGTATAGCTGCTTGTTATCAATGAATCAGTAATTCTGACATGAAAAAAGTAATGGAAAATTTCAAATGTTTCAAAAGATTAAAATAGCATGTATGAAGAACGGTTGTTATTTTGCTTCCGTTTGCTAAAACGGAATTATAATTTGATCAATGAAATTTCTTAGTCTATGAAAGTCAGTTGTCCTCAAGACATCATATATGATAAAATTATATTGTTCTATCGACAGTGAATATCAATAAATGTAACTTTAGTACTTTATACTTGTAATCATTAGTAATTATATAGACCTAGAAAACTAAGAATCTTCTGAAGTGTTTTGAAACATGATAATCTTCAAACCAGTTGCAGGTAAACACTTTGAAAAGTTTATGAAATAGAGCATATCTTTAAACGCAAAAGTCTTCATTTGTTGAAGTCCATTCACACTACCTCTATATCTCTATATTATTCCCCACTTCTAATCCTGTATTCTATTCATTCAATCACGTAACTTACGAGGTCACTTGTGACATACATATCCACTATTATGTTGTTTGATTGATGTGAAAACGTAGAAATATGTCTGATACTTCGTTCGTGTGGTGAACATGAGTGTTAAATTGCAGAATTCATAGTTAGATTCGTAGGCAAATACAATGTAAAAATGATTTGGGATCATTTTTCTAATGAATGTGATAATTTTGTATCAAGGATATTTTAGCTTCGAAAATACTTTTGTGAGGAATACTGGTATTTCGAAAATAATTTATTACTCAAATGTTCTTACTTTTCACTGGCTATTTATGACTAAAGATTAGTTTGAAGCATATCTTCGATAAGATATTTTATAAGTTAATGTCGCATAGTAAAGCGCAAATCAGTTGACATTTCTCTTAATAACCTAAAAGAAATCCTGTTAGTTCAAATAATAAAAAAACCTAGTCAAGAATAGTCCTTGTATATATACCTTGTGCACGTTACTTACATCGTACTTTCCACAATGCTACTGTAATGAGAATGCAGAAAATAACGCAGGTTGAATGGGTTAATTATGTACTAATATTGTCAGTTTCGTTTTCAGTGTCACTGTACAATAAAAAGCCTAATTATAGAATAGTCAAACAATTCCAAAACATTATAAATCTTCAGAAATGTACTTTATTTTGTATATATTGTACTGTTATCTCAGAGTATGGTACATCTCAGTAATCTCTGAAGACATTGATTGTCCTTTAAAAACTATTTAGATGGCAACTTCATAATGATAATGGTAGAGAACTCACTGTATTTATCGAGAATCAGCTGCAAGTTAAATACTTCCCTTCTAAATACAATAATTAATACAGTCTAAAGCTTTTGTGACTAATCCTATGTAATTTATCTTTATAATGAATTGAGTTTTTAAAATGCCAAAAATATTATGTCCCTTTTTTAAATTATCCACAGTAAAAAAATTTCCCAAATTTAC